TGTCATTATTAAACTGATTCAGCAACAGGTGTTTCGATGCTGATCTAAAAGGTGCACGCCGAAGCGCATCGCAAGGCAACAGTTGAATGCATACATATAGATTCGATAGTTGAATTGAGGGCAAGCTTTATGAATTATATCCACACATTATGCCAGTGTTGAGCAAAATTACTTCGCCTTCTTTTGCTCAAAACCTGTTTACGGTTTTGTGAGGATTGTGTATTTGCAGCATGTATGGAAGCTTTCTCCTGTAGATCTTTGCGAACTCGCAAGAAATTCTGTACTTCAAAGGCAAGTCTGTTTATGCGGGCTCACTTTCTTTTGCCCAGCCATTCAGCTGGCATTCAGAAAGGAAGAGCTAAGCAGAAACGGACGGAGGCCAACGCGAGCATACGAAGGTCTAGAGACGGTCCTCACAACAAATAAATTATGCGAAGCTAGAGATAAAGGCAGCCAAGCAGGAGCACACTTTTATGAAAGCTTCCAGAGCAGTAGAAATGCGCAGGAAGACAGATATAAAGCAAAATAGGTTCAGACTGTCATGGAAAGGCGTGGATAGAAAAGCGAGACAGCAGCCGCCTAGAAGTACACATATAGTTAAAGGTACAGACAGAACGACACAGAGAGGTGCGCACGGAAAGACTTAGATGCAAGCAGCAAGAAACGGGTGAAGAGCCAAGAGTACTTTTTGGATTATCGCTAGAGGGTGTCAGCGTTTCCGTGCTCATTTCATGGGGCGCGAGTTGGTTGACTTATTTCATCGGCCCACCATCAGGGCTGCCGTTTGCGTTTTTCTGTTTGGCTGCTTTTTTGTGTTTCGTTTCCCTTCTGCTGTTGCCATGTTGACGTCCCTCCAGTGTTCTCTGCCTCGCGTGTGATTGGTTCCCTTGGCATCCTGCTTTTCGCCAGCTTGCTGCATCATACCAATGCGTTTGTGGTCTTAGTGGGTTTGAAAATGAGTTCAAGAGACACTGGCTAGGAGATAGTTACTGGTTGCCGGGGAGTGAAGGAAACGACATGCGGAGAACAAACGTCAGCAATATCAGACTCCAGTATCGGTAGGATTTTGCTGCGGCTGCTGCTTGTTCTTTCTGGACTGCGCCAGTGTTGAATACATGCGTGCTGTTTTGCTGTTACTCATGCAAGCTTGTAGTGCCCATCTGTCTCAGCCGATGCACCTAAACGGCCGTCCTTGTGACGGCGATGTGTTAGCCGTTGCCTTTGTTTGGTTTTTTTGGTTGTGTCCTGCCTAGGATTGACACCTGGAGGGAAGAACTGGAGTATATGCGCGAGATCTTGAACATGAGGATAGTCTTAACAGCAAACCAGCAACAACAGCCGAGTATCACCGGCCCGATTTCTGTTGCGCAGACATCTCCGTGCAATCATTTCCTGCAGGTTCCCCACGGCATTCCTTTGAGAGTTTCTCAAGAGCCTTGTATTTCCTCTCCAGCCTACACAGTGGATACGGCCTTGTCGCCTCGCGGGGCCGACCGTCAGCATCCGTCTCGTGTCCCCCCTTCCCCACATAGCGATGCTATTTCACCCAGTCTAGGGCCTTCCAACCCGAACTCTGTTCTTTCCTCTCCCGACATGGCGATGCAATGTGGACCGGAGTTGCAGAGAAGACGAAGCATTGCAGAGCAGGAGCTTGATGAGCTTTCGTGTGCAGCAGAACAGCTCACGCTCTCAATGAAGCTTAGTCTGCCACCGTCGCAATCAGAACAGCAAAAGCCTTAGATTGCAGACAGGCATCAAAAGTCTTGGGGCACAGTGCGATGCATGAGGTCTCCAAGTAGGGCTTGGCTTCGCTGTAACCCATTTGTCTTAAGAGTGTGCAGCGGGTAAGCGGGGCGTAAGACAGAGTGCAACCATTGCGCGTTGCTTGCTTGTCCCCCTTGTGCAGTATCTCGCCGTGTTTTCCACCGACAAACAATGAATTAGAAATAGCTGTAATTCCATATATTTGCTGCAGAGAAGGAATGAGCTGCGCCTCTTGTACTGTAGTGGTCAGGTTACAATGCGCCTGCATTCGGTACTTAGTGGAAAATGCCGCCCTTCCAAAATTTCGATACAATGCTGCAAGTAGTTCTTATTTGGGAGTACGTATGACAGGCGGTTGAATGCGTTTGCTATTCATAGTTATTCATATTCGTTTTGACCATTTGCCCATGCGAAGTACGGTAATGCACTGCTCAATTTGTTTGTTATGTAGACAGTTCGCTCAACCGCAGTTGTGTAGTCACCGCGAGTAGGAGTCAGAAGCGGGCTCGGTTCAGCATATTTAGCGAGCGCGCCTAGCTGCTTCTTTAAGCCCATGTACTGGACAATGTGGAGAGGCCACTCGCCGAGTCACCTCTTTCAATTTGCCATCACCTGCACAAACTGACGGTTGCTGTTATGGAACGGGGTTTGTATGTGGCATCTCATTTCTTGGGACAGGCGGTTAAGGCTGAGTTGTGCCACCCAGAAGTGCATCTAGCTAATCTTAGCGAGCTTCACGAGAGTTGTTGATTCCCTCGTGACCTTAATTATCTCCTAATTATCTCCGTTGTAACGGAAATAAAGTCCATCAAAAGGCGTCTTCAGAGAGCGAGCGTCTTCATTTACTGCTTTTAGAGCACCTTCTTCTCATCTTTGTATCCTCAGGATGACATCATCAGCTTCACCATGGCAGCAATATAACGAAATGTGCAAGTAAGAAATAACAGACTGGGCACAAGAGGGAAGGAAAGATCTTCCTAGAACTGCAGCTTACTCCGGCACCTTTTAAAAAGTCCGGTATTTCGGGTCCATAAAGAACACTGCAGAGGACCAAATGCAGCGGCCTGTACAGATATGTCTCTACAGCCAATATAATTCAACGCGGATGCTGTCGCAGCGACTCATTTGCTCAGCCCCTGCAGTCCTCTAGTTCTACCAGAGCTCATACGCCTCCCAGCGCTGAAGCACTTTGAGTAGCCCCTGCCTCTGTTTGACGTATCCCTTGAACTGCAGAAGAAAAATTCCCGTCAGATAAAGTGAAGGATGGCCATGTTGATTAGGAGCTTAACAACACCACTTGGTAGTCTCCACTCGGATATATTCAGCTCACTTTTGAACAAATAGCCCCTATTCTTTACCCTGCGTTTTTATAGCCATAATTTTGGATTCGCTGCTTCCACCACACGCTGCGTAAGAGCGAACTGGAGCATCAACTGCCCCTTTTATGTCGTTCGCCTTGGCCGTTTCCTGTGGGCATGCGACTGAGGAGTGAGCGAGGTCGAGAGAGGATTGTTGCCGGTGCTAGCAGACACCTTTCACCTAAGAGAAAGAAATGCCGCTTCCCCGCATGACCAGCAGCACCAAGCGTAGCTAGGGGCCTCTTACGAAATGGCATAACGCTGTCTCCAGTCCGGCTCACTGCGTGCTTCACAAGAGTACGCATACAATGTTTGCATTCTCAGAATGATGAGGCTGGCTGGCAAAGCCGCTTCCCCGCATGACCAGCAGCACCAAGCGTAGCTAGGGGCCTCTTACGAAATGGCATAACGCTGTCTCCAGTCCGGCTCACTGCGTGCTTCACAAGAGTACGCATACAATGTTTGCATTCTCAGAATGATGAGGCTGGCTGGCAAAGTGCAACCGTTGTGCTAGGAGGCACTTCTTTGGCTCTCGAGTTGCCAGAGCCTCCTTGTACTTAGCAGCATTTTTCTTTGCATAGGCTTAAAGCAATGTCTAAATATCGGCGTGGCATCTCATTCAGTGGAAGTTATTCCTATGTGACGAATCCTCCATCACTGCCGCGCTCACGCTGCTTGCTTCCGGTACTGAGGGCTTTCTCCAGTAAGGGTCTGCCTGCTGTGTTGGTTGCTAAAATGGGGCGTGTGTTTGTCACTTTCGTCGCAAATTCATACAATTTGTACGCACTGACGAATAGAAGGAATGTTTCCGTTTAGCGCGGCATAAGCCCGCTGCCATTTTTATGCAACCCGTGGGGTTTGCGAATCAGATAAAACAGGTAAGCGGAGCGAATGAAGTACGATGCCTAGAGAGGTAAAAGCGAACGCTTATGGGTGATGCGCAACGGCAACGGTCGCTTCTGGCGGCTGGGCAAAAGTTGCAATTGGCAGCAAATGCAACTCTCGCAGCGGCCCTTATATGAAAGTACTAGTAATAAGGTGGACGCTGTATCAAACAGTCTACACAATACAGATTGCCGTCATATTCCACCTTAGTCCTCTGCATGGGCTGGAGTAACCCTCAGGAATCGTCGCTGCTCTCCATGCAGAAAACTCGTGTTACCGTCCACCAAATGCAATGCAAGCAAGCTTTGCACTAAGCTAAAATCATGGATAGGCAGAGATACACTCGTATACGAAGCTGCTGACGAAACAATATAAATGCGGGAGAATCTGGTCCTGCTTCAAGGCCCTCAAAAAAATGAAACACTGTGCTATGGGGATGAGCTCGATTACCAGTTGGGGCAACCGGATCCGGATTTGCCGGAATAAATGGCCCCTTCAGCAATCCCGTTAAGCAATGCATACTGATTTTAAAAATCTCAGTATGATGTTTGTGGTCACGACCTCAAGCGACAGCAAATAGTCAACGGACTTTCGGCTACACGTCTGAAAAAATCTGTACACAACTTTGGTAAACGCACCGCACCTTCCGTTCGCGTAGCTGTACGGTTCCACGCCGTATTTTACCGCCTTTCACTTCACACTCAAATAAACGAAATGGCAGGGGTGTATCCTCAACTGCAATCAATATGATAAACATCACCAACTGCAATCAGTATGGCTAAAACCACCAACTGCATTCAATATGGCAAACTCCCAGACAAAATGTCACAGAGTAAAAGCTGTCACGCCCATAAAAACGACGCAAATCGAGGGCCAGTCAAGCAATTTCTGTTCCGCTGGGAAGCGACGCTACTCAAGAATAGTGTCATGGCCAAATTCGCAGGGTGCAATCAGAAGGCTGGGAATTTACGCTCATGGATTCCTGCTGCTGCATCAACGTGATTTGTCCGGGCCAGTACTCCTTTGGGCTCGCAAGATTTTACGAATTAAAGAAAAGGGTTCCCTTGTGGATCGGTTCCCCTGTGAGGCTCTTGCTGCGCCCTCAGTGGTTCCCTTTTGTAAAATTCCATGTGCTTGTTCTAGAGCTTTCCACAATTTCAAGTTTTGCTCTTCAAGTTTTCCGATTATTCGGCGTTCCGAAGGAGCCATCAAAGCACTCCGCATCTGCAAAGCATACGTGGATGTATCTTTTTGAAGCAAGCGATACTTTGCCACCCTTTTCTGTATGGCTTTGAGGCCATTTGTCGGTGAATAAAGCAGCTGTAAAAGGTCTTCCGTTGCACTTTGCGTGCTCGTCAAAAGCTCTTCCCCTACTTTCAGGACTTCCTCGGTGTACTCTGGGCGTAGCACATAATTTTTCACAGGTGCGCCTTTAACTACAAGAACGGCTATGCTTAACGCATTCGCTGCTGTGATTGATATTTTTCTGTTCTGCATGCGGTGGTTCACAAACAGCTTGAGAGAAAGGACCCTCTGCAGTCTGTGCTGGGTTATCGCAGACATTGTGTTCCGGATCCGCCTGAGTGATACTCTCAGTTTCTTCATTCGCTTTTCAAGTGCTTCGATCCTTCGACTTGTCTCCTCTAGCTCTGTGGATGAGTTCCCGCCTCCTTTTAGAGCGAGTTTAGCTTCGAACGATTCCAACTGCTTCCGTTCTTCCACTAGGTTCTCCATAGTTGTCAAAATTTGAAGTTTATCGCCTATCATTTTTTGTATCCCCTCCTTCGCTGTAAGTATAAGCTGGATTTCACTAAGCTGTAGGTTCCTAAGATCCTTGCGAGAGAGATTTAGAGCTTTCCGCTGACGTCTTAGTTCTGCTTCTTCGATGGGGGCATTCAATAAGGTATTTGCTACACCGCCTGAGAAAGCTTCCTTGAGATATAAGTGGTCCTTGTTCACTTTCTGACTGGCAGCAGTGGCGAATCGTGCCGCAGGAGCCTCTAGAATGGGCACGTCGAATGTTGAATCTGTTGAAGAGCGTCGGGCACCGACACCCCTTGTGTTGCTTTCTTCTACACAACCCACAATCCAACGAGCACGTGAATTCGATAGGAGGCGTGCGTAGTTGCCTCCATCTAGCGGCCTGTACAAGTTTAGCTCTTGCATGCACCAGAAGCCTCGCAATATAAGATAAACTGTTGCTGTGAGGAGTACAAGGCTTAATGCATTTGTTATGCTCAGGCTGCTTTGGGATCCACATCTTCGGGGGTCAAGTAAGTGGTGCGGTTCTGTTTCCCCAATAAAAATATTTTCTTCTCTGCTATTCACTAGGAGAGTTCGAGTGCCAGGATTCTGTGAATTCATCATGGCAGCTCCTTGTTGGGAACGACACAGAAAAGAGGGTACAAATGTCTGAGATAGTCATGGATCCCAATAGCGGACAGCTGCACGAGTTGCTTCTCCACACTTTCCCCATAAAGTGATCTGGTTCAAACGCAACTATCGTAGATCTTGTGAAGGTATTTAAACTCAGCTTATCCACCTCATCAAAGAAACCTTCAAGAGAAGAATTTCAGAGGGCCCATTGGCTCATTCAGAGGGGGGGAATTTACGGCTTTTGTGAAACCGTGGCTTTGCCCAGCGGCAATCCCGCTGGTCCACTGAGCCCAATCGAAGTTGGGCTTTTTATCGACTGGGGATTGCGTGGAGTACGGCATCTTCCATTGCGCTTCTGTGGGCTTGGCATGTAAATCTTGAGACTACTTCCTTGATCACTCCCTAAACCACGATCCTTTCCGCACTTCTACGTGGTGCTGGCCGCTTCATTGCACGCAAGAGCGAAAGCTCCTGCCTTCCAACTGAACACTTCGGTTCGCTTCACTATTTAATTGCTCCCTTCAGGCATTTGCCGAGTTTTCATAGCAAAATTCAGCCATTTACTCGGATTTCCACAAATATGCAGCATTGCTGCCTGCGTATCCTGGAGCCGCATAGTGTAACTGTTCACTGGGGAAGCCCGAGATCCAATCCCACAGTCTCTGCATGTTCTTGTAGCAAGCTAAATTATATCCCCTGCGATCGGCCAAAAGATTTAAACCAATTAATAGAATAATGTACTGAACATGATGCCTTGAAAGTCCATATGTTTCTTGAAAAGAGTAGAGCTGGATTCTCCCCCAAATTTGACACCATCGCCTGGAGCCCAGCGGTGCCCGTTGGTCTCATGAGTAGCAGCCTATGGAAAACTGAAGCTTCTCTGCAATCTTCGCATAACGCCGCTATTATTTTGCCTCCACTAAAGATGTACGCGTCCTGATTCTGCACTTCCCAATACACGTTTATTGGTTTCATTACAGGATCCAATTTACTGCCTGCAGGCGCGCATGGTCGACGGACAATTGCTTACCGCACTCAGTAGCTCTCAATTCGTGCTGCAGAATTTTCCGTCTTTTTGCTGCTAAAGGTTGAAGTCGCCATTCTTGTAGGGGTGAGTCTAGCGTCAATGTTTGTAAAAGGTCCAGAAAGCCTTAGGACGAGAGGGAGGAACCCGCAACGACGTTCCCCGTCGTAGAGAGTACCATCATTGCAGACAGTGCCATCCCTAGGATGAAATTATTATGCGTTTCTTTTAAGAGCGCTGCCTGACGATCTCTATCAGGGGACAAATGGCCTCCGCAGGACCGTGTCGGGCATGCCATGCCTGTCCCGTTCAGCCGACAGCTAAAGAGCGCGATGCGTAAAATGACTATAGAGAGTAGAGGGGAGTAGTTTCCATAAGGTTTGTTATATGGGCTGACCGTACATGGCGTGTCTAGGAGCAGCATCCCCGGAATTCCTTCAAAGGTATCACCGGCGATTGACATCCCAAACATTATCTGCTGCAGCTGCAGCATCAGTCTCGGTAGGTCCTTCGGCAGTCTTAGCTATATGGTATTCTAGTAAGGGAACCTTTATGCATGGGGAGAAATTAGGCAAAGATAAACACCACCACCTCGCTCTTCCAAAAATCACATGGCCACTTCCTTCCGTATAATCAAAAACCACAATGAAGTCCAGTTTTACATGAAGATGGCCCAATTTCACTGATTGATATCCAGGGCAGTGATGCCCACTGACATGCGAAGAACTTTATGTAGGAACAGTCGGGTGTGTTGGTTCTGATTGGCAGAACCATCCATCTCTGGAAGGGAGCGAGTGGTATTCTAATGTAGCGCGGAAGCTCATGGTGAAGCAGTTCTTGTGACTTTTGCATCGAACAGCAAGCATTCGAAAGCTCTCAAGTAGAACTGTGCCATGGGATGTTTGGGGTACACAGTACCTGCTCTTACTTAGCCGTAAACGCAGGAGTTATATTCCTCCCTCAGGTAGCTTCTAGCTGATGAACACGGCTTGTCCACTGGCACTGGAGTCAAATTGAAGAATAGCATGGGGTATCACATGCCACTCCTATTATTGATACAAGTTCTCCATTTAAAAAAAACAAGGACCTTATGAAGCGCCCAAACGAAGAGCACGCAGGAAAAGTGAAAACTACGCTTCGTTTCCAGAACTTAATTTTAAGAACTCCAGGAAAAGAGTTATCCTGATACACGCAGATGTTCAAACTGATTCTGTACAGCCTCAAGTGCGTCTACCCAACGCCTCATAATTCCTTTTGCGCGACCTTGCAGAAATAGCACAATCATGGAATTGAGGGTCGGGAGGAAGGAAAGACAAAACAGGCAAGCAAGCTATTCCAGCAAAGTGCCATCTATGAATACACACAAGTGTGACGAGCTCATGCTCCACTAGCGCAGATCTGCACACGTCCGTGGAAGTCTTACAAGTTAACAAATAAAGCGAACAGAAAAGAAAAACAGAGGAAACCCATGACCAGATTCTATCAACCTGAGCAGTGTCTTCCCCATCAACCGAAATAGGGGGGACTAACATTGAGGAACTTCGGCCCCTGTGTCGACAAATGCCTTCTTGAAGAATAACATGAAAAACTGGACCACTGTGCCCAGAAGAAACGCCTTGTAATGCTTCACCTACGCCTTGTATCCTTCGTCCCGCTGCCTTGCTGTGTCTCTTGAGAACAATCACCTTCATCGCTTGCTCCCCAAAGACACAAGTATCTGAATAAAGGACGCCCGCGTGGCGCCGTTGCGTTTTCGGTGTGACTGTTTCGTATAATCCGATCTGCGCCATCTAGCCCCTTAAGAAGCCTGTTCATTTGCTCATCCAATTCCTTTAGGAGCGGTTCCTTTGATAAGCTCATCGCAACACTCCGCAGCATCAATGAAAACATTGACACAGTAGTTCGAAGCCTTTGGTACTTCTCCAAACGTCTCCTGAAGTCGAAATACATAAGTCTCGAACTCTGTTGTTGACGCGAAAGATCCGTAACTGCTCTCTCCACTTTTTCTACGAACTCCTGACCCGCTCTCAAAAGCTCCTCCTGATCTTCATCACTGAGACAATAATCGGCTGGCTGTCCTCCTTTCATGACAAGGATGGCTATGCTGATGGCATTCGCCGCTCTCAGTGATATCCCTTTTCCACTCCTTCGATGAGATGCAAACACCTGTGCGCAGATGCTGCGTTGCATTTGGTGCTGGACCGTCGCTTGCATCGAGCCACGAACTTTCGAGAGCTGCCTTTTCTTCTGAGTGATACTTGCACCAACAAAGGCTAGGCTTTGTCCTGCTTCCCTCAACATGTAACGTGAATGGCTGTCCCAGTTTTGCTTGACTTCCGCTCTTACTCGTTCATAGTACTGCTGTTCGAGCACTAACGAGTGTAACTTTGAAAGAGCCCTAGACCTAAATGACAAGATATCTTGTAGTCGTCTCTTTGCTCTGAGTAAAAGCATGCATTCACTTGGCTTCATATTCCAGTAATCACTTAAAGGGAGAGTTAGGGCATTTATCTGGCGCCTATATTCTGCTTCGTCTGTTGGGAGCCTCTGGGAAAGGGCCCCTATGTACGTGTTTACACTCTCAATCGGGAGACGGCCACGCCTTTTCTTTGCAGTTCCAGCCGATCCAGGAGACCTCATTGGAATCTCATCTTGCGAAGGACCACCCTCGGGATCCCAAACAGAGTGCGCAAGCCGTTCATTGTTGCTGTGGTTACCTTTCTGTTCCTTGCTACCCTCTTGCATGCATTCCTTCATCCAATTAGCATCATCCTCAGACAACAGGCGCGTTTGCACGCCAGTGGACAGCGAACGGTGAGAGCTTAGCTCTTGTAAACACCAAAAGCTGCCCAAGACAAGATATATTGCTGCTGTGAGGCAGAGGAAACCAAGTGTATTTGAGGCGAAGAAGACCGGGCCGCCCCTCGACTCCCAATCCAAATACTTAGGTTTTACATGTGAATCAGTTCTCTGTGCGACAAAGCTTTCCGCTGGAGGCTCTGCTTCATGTGAAAGCGGAGTATAAATTGCAGCTGTCTGCGCATATTCCTGGGGCCCAGTCATTGCTGGGGACTGCTGGGACGAGACAGGCAAAACGCTTGAAATTGTTCTAATCATAAAAAAAGGAAAGCTGAAAGAACAATATCTGCATGTTTTCTACCCAAAAAGCCGCAGCATCGCGCCATTTGAGGTTTGCCCTCCAGATCTCATGGAGTTGAGCGAAGCGAACAGCTGATCCGCTCCGTGGGCAAACCTATGCTTGAATACTCACGTGAAGCTGAAAAGAATTTTCCAGTTTTATGCTTTAAACTTTATGCGGGGTCCTGCTGTCGGTCTGTCGCAGCCATGAGGAGCCCCGCTTCTTGCGTTCAGGGGCACTCCAGCAGCCAGCCCAGGTGAACTAGATTAATTATCTGAACATGATGGCGTTACGTGTGCATCTTCGCTTGAAAATCGGCATGACTGGAGCAAGAATTTTAAAAAATAATTTCCCGCATTCTTGTTGGCGCGAGTTTTCCTGTACGCCGCATGTGGGCCGCGCTGATCGATCAATTGCTGGTCGAGTCGGATGTAGGGTTTCCGCTGAGTGACGCAGGGTTGCTAGAACTGAACTGATTGGTCCGCGCAAACATGGTATCCGCTTCGAACGGTACAAATATTATACGTGATATTCTGATGTTATTACACGCGTGCTCCCGACTTTTGAGGTGTACAGCTCCCTTTGATGCACTCTAATGCTGGCCATTTGGTTTACCGCACCACTAAAGCAGTCAATACTGAACACGAATTTTCGTGTTTTGCTTACACACAATACACAATATGCTGAAATCGCCCAAATTCAGCACTCCACAAAGGAAGCTCCCACCGTGAGTAAACAACTTCTTAAGCTCATGTTAGCTACACAGCAGTGCGTTGCACGCACCGATTTCTGAAAGTTCAGTAGGCAGACCTGGTTTGAGCCTGTGTTAAAAATAAATAGAAGAAACTTGGCGAAGAACACAAGTGCGTGCATCGATAGGCAGATACAACGTAAAACCATGGACCACAGCTAGAGAAAAAGCACGCGAAAAGAAACACACACAAAGTAGTGCTATTCACGTGCAAACAGGTGTAGACAGGGGAAAGCTAGTGGAATACGCGAGAGGCACACGCTTTCACTCCTTTCCTTCAGTTTAGAGGACAAGTACGCACTGATTTTGTTGTTTGCTGCTGAGATAACTGCGTTCCGTCGAGCACAGTCACTTTGAGCAGCTCACTGCAACAACTCCGCAGAGTTTGGAAACCGGTATGACGCTCTTCTTCGTATTTTACGTTATTTCCTCATGAGTGTTATTTGCTCCCTCTCCGCTTGAATGCCTGTCCTTTATTTTCATTCTGTCATTTTGATTCTCCTTCCCCATGTTTCTCCTTCTAGTACCCTGATGCTGTTCAAAAAAATTGTGTTGCCTCAGACTTTTGTGATAGTTCACCCACCGGCTTCGAGAGTCAGGTAAAGAAAGACTGGCTCTGCGAAAATTGCTGGCTGCCGCAAAAAGCAGGAAGTACCATGAGCTGAGCGATCATGAGCCCACGACAGCCATCTCTGTAGGATATAGCTGCTGCCGCTGCTGAAGTTTGATACGCCAAATATGAGTTCGTGTGCATCTTTCTGTCACCCCCTTTTACAGTTTTACGTCCCTTGTTGTAAGCACTCTACTCCGCATTTCTCTCAGAATATCTGGATGACTATTCGCTTGCTGGCGACTCTATCTTCTGCCCTGCGCTATTGTTCGTTCTGTACTCAAACCTGCGCTTTGGAGAAAACACTGGAGTACGTGAAGAAGTTCCGAAGTGTGAGGGAAGTGATAACATCACACCAGCAACAATTAAATAGCCTTTTCAATCCTTGTGCACCTCTACCTTTTGCCGCATAACTATTCCCCGCAGGTGTCCCGCGCCATCCGGTCAAAGATTATCACAGATTCCCATATGCCCTCGTCTTCTTACACGGTGGGTACGGCCTTGTCGCTTTGTGGGGCAGGTCGTCAGCATCCGTCTCACATGCGCCCTTCCGCGCATAATGGTACTGTTTCACGTAGTGCAGGGCCTTCCAACCCGAACTGTGTTCTATTCTTCCGTAATGGCTATGCAATATGGGCCTGAATTGCGAAGAAGAAGAAGTATTACATAATAGGGGCTTGATGAGCTTTCGTGCGCAGCAGAACGGCTCACGCCATCAATGAAGCTTATTCTGTCATTGTTGCAAGCAGAACAGCAAAAGCCTCAGAATGCAGAAAGTCATCAAAAGTCTTGGGGCACTGTACGATACATGAGACGTCCTAGTAGGCCTAACCTTCCCTGGAAGGTAATTTGTCTCAAACGTGTGCAGCGGATGAGCAGGGCATAGGACAGTGAACTGTGCGTTGTCTGACTGTGTAATCTCATTGTTTTTCCTCGAATTAGCGCTGAAGTGTAAACTTTGGTGGCTCTACGTACCTGATCAAGAGAAGGAACGCGGATATGGATGCTTCGTCTGCATCGATCCAGCATTTGGCCCAGCGCACGTGGCCCAGAGTACAGGATGATGTGAAGGTGCAGTTCATGAACTTGTCTTTCCGTACTGTTGTCTTCTCGTTTGCAGTCACCCAGGTAGTTCAAGGCAGCAGTTGATGTGGAAATCCATCTGAAGAGACCACCTGTCTTGATTTAGAATCGACCATACTGTGACGCTTGTTTTACCGGGCAGCCATTGTTTCCTGTTTGCAGCGTCACCTGAAATATATTGGGGCAACTCTCCTGTCTGCCTTCGGATGCCCCTGTGGGTAACGCTGCGAAGGCATAAACCATGGAGCTCTACATTCGCGTAGATAATTAATAGGCTATGAAAGATATTTCCAGAGATAAATCTAGCAAATTGCACTGAAACATGAGAAAAAAGGAAAGCTGAACAAATGCGACGTGCATTATGTTGCAAGCCTGCGCAACGTATGAGAACTGGCAGAAAATGCGCAGCAAATGATGTCTTCTTTGTAAAAGCGGCATTACTTCCATGTTTTGAAAAATGCCATGAGTTTCCCGTTTTACCCTATCTGAGCTTTGCATGGCTGGCGTGCAGCGTCTCGCTGGAACCATCAAAACCTCGCCCACTCGTAAACAGGGACAATCTTAGTAGTGAGCGCACAGACGAAATTATTCCTTCACCCCCCATGCATGACTCTTGCGTCAATTGATCCGCCTTCTCTAAGGCTTTGCGCAGCTTCAAGTTTTCCCGATCCAGGCGTCTCAGGATCTTTTGCGCTGTGACACCCCTCACAACACTGTGCAGCTGCAAAGTATACACGGAAGCGTTCTTTTGAAGAGAATGATACTTCGCCGCGCGTTTCTTTAAGGTTGAATGACTATTGCTTGGAGCCCGTATTAGGTGCGAAAGGTCTGCTGCTGCTTCCTGCAAACTCGTCAGCAATTCTTCGCCTATGTTAAGAAGTGCATTCTGCTGCTCAGCAGTGAGTGCCAAATTGGACGACCGGGAGCCTTTCATCACGAGGGTGGCTATTGCGATTGCGTTTGCTGCCGTAACTGATATTTCTCTGTTCTGCAGGCGATGAGACGCGAGTATACGGAGTGAAATGGTCCGCTGCTCCGTGTGCAGGAGCAGCAAACCCAGTACTTCACGGATAATAAAAAGATCCCTTCTGGCTTTTTTGACTAGCTCTTCGAGATAGCAAAGTCTTTCAACTGTCTTCTTCAGCCTTTTAAGTGAACTTTTGTCAGTTTTCAAGGTAAGATCGGCTCTTACTTTTTCCAAACGTCTTCGTTCATTCGCTGTCATGTGCAAGCCTGCAACAAGGCGAAACCTGTATACGAGCAGGTCGTGCAGGTCCACTCTGGCCCTTTCTAAAAGTTTTACTTCTCCACTTGTCAGATTTTTGCGATCCTTTTTTTGCAGATGGAGCGCCTTTAGCTGACGTTTACATTCCGCTACACTTGGGGTGCGTTCCAGGAGAGAACTCATCCAATCAGCCCTCAAGCTTTGATCTGCATCCTCCTCTTCTCTTCCTGCTTGATTATACGCACTGCCATAGAATCCTGGTAGAGTCTCATTCTTTGCAAGGGTGCTGCTGGGACGAGCAACGGGTTCTGTATGTTCAGTGCTGCTATGATCGCCGGCTTGTCCTTCTACGCATTCCTTGGCCCAACGAGAGCCTTGTATAGACAATAACCGCGTTTGGATGCCACTTGACAACAGCTGACGAGTTTCCAGCTCTTTTGGACACCAAAAACCACTCAAGACAAGATATATTGTTGCTGTGATGCAGAAGAAACTAAGTGTATTGGATGCGAGGAGTGCCATGCCGCCCTTCGAAGCCTTCGAAGCCGAATCCATATGACTAGAGATCAATGGTTGATCAATTTTGTCAGTGTGGCTTTGGGGTAGAGGCTCTGCCTGTTCTGAAAGCGGAGCATAATTTGCAGCTGTCTGTGCATACTCGTCGCGCCCAGCCATTGCTGGCAACTGCTGAGACATGACTCGCAAAAAGCTTGAAATTATCTTGGTTGTATATTGGGAACGCTGGAGGAAAAATATTTGCTGTGAATTCCCGGCTTATTAAGTCCCAGTATGAATGCTGAGCGACCTCAGCAGACCTCAAATAAGCAAATTCAGCAGCTCATCCACTTCCGTTGCAGGCCTCTGCTAGATGAGCACACGTATACTCAGGAAAAAAGCGTATTTTCAGAAAAAATGACCGATGTAAAATTAATGTGCTTATGTGTTGTATGGCTGTAGCAGCCATGCATAGCCCAGCTTCTGCTGCAGCATCGCTCCTGTGACTGTTCCTGCCAAGGGATACTTGACTGAACACCATGCCTACGTAACATCGCGTCCTACATGTTCAGTTTTTCTGTCTGTGAGATTAGTATGCAATATGTAGAATCTGTACAGCATAATTTTATTGATGCTGCATTCTGTGGACACACGGGGGATCGCGATCGTCGATCCAGCGCTCGACTGTTCAACGCTTTGCAACTTTCCGTCGACGTTAGCTCGTAAATGGACGTAGCAGTGAGGTAGTACGATTATAAAATGAATAGTACTTCAATACTTCCCTAGTGTTGCGAGCCCCATTCGTACTACGCAAGTTTGCGTTTTTGTTGTGGCAAGCGATTGTCCAAGTTACGCGTGGCCAACCACCCGTAACCATACAAACTTCTGCTCCGGGCTTCACAAGCTGCGTCTGACATATCTCTTCAATGATCTTCTTGCTAAATTTGGCCTGCAGTAATTCGGAACGCACCTGGCTCAGTTTTCCCGCAAGCTGAGCTTTCCCGTATTCGAACTCGATAGCTCGCAGCCAAAAGCCTGACCACTGCCGGTTTCACAGGAGCCAAATAGCTTCTCGACAAGTTTACACGCCTCCTTTCCGCTTCCTTCGGCCTCCACGTTGATTCGAAACGCATTAATACGTGCGAAATGTTCAACAACAGCAATTGGCCCCATGCACTGTTAAGGTGACAAAGCATCCTAATTAGCAGCACTAGTTGTTGTTCCAGCTGAGAACAGCCCAGTTCATTGTGCATGCGAGCTCTATCGGAAGACAGGATTGCGTCAATGCCTTCGAGCATTGACGCGATTACGAATCTGAATTTGAAAACTTGTCAGCATGGCTAAATAAGAACGGCTTTTTAGTAGAAAATGCACACCAGCGGGAACATCACAGCAGGTAAAAGCCGCTCCAGTTCGTGGAGACTGCCTTGCATCCCTCTTTACGGGGTGTAGGGGCAACGTTCCTCGTGTACTTTAAACCAATACGGTGAGTTAGGCAGACTTTTGTACCTGGAAGGAGAGACATTCAACCTTGATTTATTGCCTTTGGTAGGGCGGCCGCTTAGTTTAACGCAGTAGCCTGCTGCCTGGAATTTACGATATTACACAATTCTCTTGAGACTTGTGAAAATTATTGAAGGTAAGACTTCCTGTTTGCTGTCTTTCGTATGGCAAGACGCTTGGATGCTACTCAGATACTACGTCAACTTCATTTAGGACTTGTGGAAAACTTCTAAGCAGCACCGAAAGCATGGGATGCGTTGGAAAATCTTTCAAGTTGGGGCTGAAACGTGGGGGATAAGCCATTGGTAAAGTATCTACCAACGAAGTCGATCGTAAAAGTCTTCGGTACTCTTCGTTTGACTGCAGGCAGCCAGTGTTGCTTACCAGTGCATGGGGCCAATTGCTGTTGTTGAACACTTCGCATCTATTAATGCGTTTCGAATCAACGTGGAGCCCGAAGGAAGCGGAAAGGAGGCGTGTAAACTTGTCTAGAAGCTATTTGGCTGCTGTTAAACTGTCAGTGGTCAGGCTTTTGGCTGCGAGCTATCGAGTTCGAATACGGGAAAGCTCAGCTTACGGGAAAACTGAGCCAGGTGAGTTCCGAATTACTGCAGGCCAAATTTAGCAAGAATATCATCGAAGAGATGCGTCAGATGCAGCTTGTCAAGCCCGGAGCCGAAGTTTGTATGGTTACGCGTGGTTGGCCACGCGTGACTTGGACAATCGCTTGCCACAACAAAAACGCAAACTTGCGTAGCACGAAAGTGTGGCGTGGGTCACCGGGATGTGAGCAGAGCTGGTAGTGCGCAACACTGCAATATGTTCGAGATAATTCGACTGACGTAACATCTGGAAGCTTTTGTTATTCAGAGGGGTTTTGTTCCACCGACGGTAAGGCACAGTGGGCTCTGTAATTAGGCCCGAAACTTCGAGAGAGCAAGAGGTACCAACGCTGCAGCGCAGAGCACTCCAGCCTCCAAGGGGTGTAAAATTTTGTAGCTTGTTCCTGTGCAACATTGTAATGCAATGCAGTACACCCTGTAGTATATTATAGGAATTTGATTTAATTAGAGATGTGTTATCTAAAGAAACTTAGCCGTTGCTGTAAACTAGCCTTAAGATGCTCTGCAGATACGCCAGGGTTTATCGCAGCCACTGTCACTGGCGCAGCCAGTAGTGGAACGCATACAGAAACAGACGGGCGTTATCTCTATCAAAGGCAAAAAAACGAACAATGACAATAGCCGGCGTGCTCTTTCGAGAGTTCATGTGGCATGTTTGGCGCTAGGAAGCGAGTGTGCATCTATGTAGAGAGTCACGGTACTTAATGGGGGGAACTAGTTAGGGCTGTTTACTACGATTGGGGACCATCCTCCCTTTTATATCGCTTTATACCCTATATATGGGGGTCCTGACCATGTTTATATCGCTTAATACCCTCTTAAGACCTTTCATTCATAGTAGGGGGAGTGACTCGGGAGTTAGTCCACATGGTTCGGTTTCATGACCTGATTAACCAGCAAGTTCTATTAATCGGCATACTCTTCATCAAATTTCGGACTTGATTTTTTGCCAGGCTCAGTGTGTGGCAGTACACATCTTACACCTCAAGAGATGGCCACAGCATAGAGGCCCAGCGTTTTCAAATTTTTCGGCCACCGCCGCCCTCCGTATGGGAACGTATTGAAACTTATTCCTCTCCGTTAGAAGCTGCAATAGAAGGACTACTCGGGCAGATCTTCAAGGAAAATGCAACCGGAAATTGCATGCTTCCCTTTATTCCCTACGTTGATTCTGCAATTTTATGGGTGCTTTTGGCGGACAACGTTCCCACAGTTGTATGCATGTTATGCGTTGCAGCACTATGCTGGCCTCAGATACGAGAATCTCTGGCATCTTTAATGCCGAAATTCAAACTGTTATGTTACTTTGAACGAATATGTACAAGGCCTGGTAAGAGCAATTAATCTACAGTTGAGGCTGCTCAATGAATAGAACTTTCGACACTTCTTGCCTTTAAAATAATTTGAATGAATAGCATGTAATACTACTTCTGAGGCTGCTGAAGGCTTACACATAAGAGCTACATTACAAACTGCACACAGGCTACAAAGTTTTCGCATAATTGATCCTAAACCTTGACTACGCTACCTTCGTTACGGTAAGTTGCATTTTTCCAGTTGAGTTGAAACTCTCCACCTACCGAAGGACTCAGCTTGAATCTACAACTTCGAAACGCCTCGAACTTTGCTGGGAAAATCCAATTACTTCAGCGTTCCCAACAAGGGCTTGAAAAGGCGACAACAGAATCCTTATATATCTCACGCTTGCTCACTTACCTAGATTTCTTACGGTCTGTTTTCTCCTCCAAGGTTAAACCAGCTTATTATGGCAACCGATAATCGCAGGCGACTCAACAGGAAAAGAATGCACGTAAGATAATTTCTGGTGACTCATAATTGCCGAAAAGGCTCAGTGGAAACGGATGCAAGAATATCGCTCCTCGTTAAGAAGAGCAGCGAAGCATTCGTCCATATCACGAAGTTGGTCAGACGAAGTATGTCAACGCATGATGATAGTTAATGTGCGTATATCTTGCGAAGATGTTCCTGCAGTCCTAGAAAGTGATGCTGTGGGCATGGGTCACTAGTGACCTTTGCTAACTAATTATTATATAAGAAACAGTCAGTACCGAAAAGATCTGTTGCAGCCCCCTGAAAGCGGTTCATGCCATCCACGGCGAGAGAAGTCGTCATTCACGACGGCTCTACCAATTTCAGTTGGTTATCACCATATGGTCTATCACTCACTATTGAAGGGACAGCTGCAGACCTTCTTGCTCGCTTCACCTGGGTACTTCGCCCTTCTTGGAGAGGGAGCCTCCATAGTTATATACGAACCTAAAGCATAAGTTCATGAACTAAAGTATCAGCCTGTCTAAAAGGTACCTACCTGCACTCACTGTGATTTTCACTAGCGTGTACGAGGTGAGGACTCTCCGGGGAGAGCAAGGAGCTGAGTCCAAGACTAAGCAGCTGCCAATGAGATCTGGGGAATGCTTGTGCAGCAAAATCTCAGTCCCGTTAATCGGATTTAAAACGTGAAGCACTGTCCCATTTTTCAGTGAGTGGGCAGTAGACAAGGGTAAAGCCGTACTTGCGGGGACCAGAGCGTTGAATGACTGTCCACAGCTCTTGTCTGCTTGCAAGAAGGCGAGTTCGTATGGCGGGGCAGAGAAGAAAATGATTACATTCCCGAGGAAAGATGGATGGCACCGGAAATTTCTGCAGGGAAATCACACATTCGACGGTCTCTGGATGTTGGAAGCATCGAAGAGCTGTCATGTCACACCCTTACTTCTTAAAACCCATTGCATAGATGCTTGACCAACAACAGCTGTCCGTATCGTGAAATCTTGGAGAAGTCACGAATGCTTTTAGTGTGTAAGTTTAAAATTATGTTAGCAGGGGTGATTTGCACTTTTAAAAAAAATCTAGCGTTATAAAACGGGCAAGTACTGGCATTCTGTCTCCTTAATCGCATATTTCCTGTGCGGACCCAACACCATTCGGCCATTGCTGACTCCGTTCAATTCTATGAACGGCTTGCGTGGAACTCCGGGCATGCAGAGGAAAAAACAATGAGGAGTCATTCAAAGAATTATGCATAGTATCGACTTAGGAGGGTGCGCGTAGGCACTGTATAGAAGGGTCTGGAGCCAGTCTCGATTGCTTCGGCTCCCCAGCCGGGGCCGCTTATTGTATGGCGTAGTCCACTGTCTTCCCTGCTAAGTTACAAGGTGAAATAATCCTCTTAATTTCAACACAAAAGTAGCAACCAATAGTTTGTAATCAACTGGGCCCAAAATAATGACGGACGGCCCCCAGACACACACCGCCCTCGGTGTCTTCTTTTTATCCGTTGCTTTAAGACAGTGTTGTTGACAAGGCTTCACCAGATCCAACGCCTTCCCTGATGCGTCTTTGTTTTTTTCTCAGGGCAAGTCATTTCTTACTGGTTGGCTTTATGCTGTTAGACCTTTTGCTGAAGGCCACCATATCCCTTCCTAGCCTGACTGAGGGCCCCTCGCAGCTAGGAGGCCCCACCCTTGGCCATGCTATGCTATTATTGTATTCCGTGTGTCTTCTCTATGATTTTTAAGCATTATTAATCTCCCCCTGATTCTCCTGAAGGAGTTCGACGAGGAGGGATCCGGGGGTAAATCGAGAATGGCGGTTGTTTGCCGCTTGCTATCTTTAACTTACTTATTTTGTTGCATTTTTTGCACTCCAGTCTCACCTCACAACCACAAATCGCATAACTTGAATGGAATTGTGTTGCAACAATCAGTGGAAGCACAAGAATCCCTACGTGCAGCTGATACACCCCTTGCTGTCTCCTCAACTCCACATGAACCAGAACAAACGGCCGCCCCCAGTCTGCAAGAATTATGCGGGGGCCCTGAGGACTTGAGCGCCTGTGATTTTGTCAAGGATGGCATCTGCGTATTATCAGAGGGTTACCTGCGGCTATGGCAGCGTCGTCGCTGGCGAGGAGCAGGGCTCCCCAAGGGGGCAACTGCTGAACCCCGCTGGGTTGAGGGTTTGCGAATAATAAGTGGAGGAGATATTGAAATAAGGGGGGCCATCATTAAATGTACCGGGGCTGCTAGGAGTGGTACGCAGCCTTCGATGAGGCTTCGCAGGCTACGTGGCAGTGGCTGTTCTCCAGGTCGCCGGCGCTCTTCCGTGTGCCCAGGGCTCATACAGAGATCACGCCGCGACGCTTTATTCACAAGCGACGCCTCAAATCAACGCATAAAACTTTGTGCCGGCGGCAGTATTCGTTTGCTGGGTTCTGCGAGGCTGCACTGTGCTGAAACGCTCTTATATGCGGGCGACTCGGTAGTCATCGGAGAGGCCGCTGAAATTACAGCATCGGGGACATCAGAGGTGCGGGGCAGCAGCTCCTCGTGTGGTTTCCGTTGCTCGACTATGAATGCATCTTCAGGGTCTTCTTTCTTGGGGGCCCCACTCGATATCGTCGCCAGGAGGCTCAAGCAGGAGCTGGCTGGAGGGCCCTACGCACGCGGCAAGGCCCCGCCGCAAGGGCTATCGCAGCCTCCTCAGCCCCTCACACTTGCCGCCTCTGCCGCATGCGCAGGTGCGACTGCTGAGTTGGAGGGGCCGACCACACAGGGGGAGGCGGCTTCCTTGCAGAAGAATCAGCAGAAGACAAGCTCCGAAACCGAGCTCCGAGGAGGAAGTCACGGAGGCATGGGAGGCATTGTGACGGACCGTTGCGAGGCGACTGCCTTTAGTGGGCTCTCTGTGTCATAGTTATATCCTTGCGTGTGCATTTTTTATCCTTTGGAGGGGGCTGTGGATTTCGGCTGAAAGACAGTTCACCCTATGAGATGTCCCTGGCTTCTAATGCGGTGCGGCTGTTTCTGCAGGCCACCCAGTAAGGGCTCCCCTTGAGGTACGGGGAAACATTTTCCTGCCTCTTGCCAAGGGCGAGGCGGGGCTGCTGCACGCTAAGTACATTGCGGACACCAAGGGGCACACCCGTAACTCCTCAGGTGCGAGGCTGCTCCATGGTGTCCCAACTACAGAATCGCCTCGGGGCGGGGGCCTTGTGGTGATCATCGCGTCAAAGGAATTGCTGGTGGAGGGGCAGGTAAGCTCTTCCGGGGAGCCTGGGTGGGGTTGCGAAGCTCATGCAGCCTCTTTAAGCGCCTCTCGCCAGGCCTCGGGTTATCGGGGAAAGGAGGGCCTTGAGCTGCGTGAGGGCTGGCGCGGAGCGAAGATTTTAAAGGCTGCTTTGAAAAGCCTCTTTAAAAAGTCTGGAAAGGGATCGAAGTCACCAACAAATGCGATTCCAGGAGCCGCTGCAGCAACGTGCGCGGCTGCAGGCAGTGGCGGCTCTATTGTGCTGGTCGCCGAAGCTCTGGTATTCCCGAACCCAATGAGGAGTGGGAGGATTACAGCCGCAGGCGGCGGCTGTCTCAGGACGTCGCCTGGTGGGAAGGGCTCATTCAGTGGTGCTGCTTCTGCAGTTTCTAAGCGTCGGCAGCGTCCTCTTCACGAGGCAACGGAGATAATCTCTGAAGAATGCGCAGCGGGAGGGGGAGGACGCATTGCGATATATGCCGAACAGCCGCACCCTCTTGACCCGCTGGTAAGAGTCTTCGGCCGCGTGCTGCCTGCTTGTCGTTTGCAGCAGTGCTTGCTTCATGACGTTGCTGGCGGCTCTTTACACGCAACTGTTGCGCAAATTGTTCTCTTTGAGGTTTCAGGCCTGGACGGGGCTAGATGCTGAAGATAGCTGCACTGTCAGTAGGATAGATGTGTGAGTGAATTTACTGCTTTTTATTTATTCTGTACGTGCATTCTTAGGTCCTGGCGCCTGGAGGGTGTGCGCTGCACAGCGGTCGATTGGACTTGCTGCCCTGCCTCTGTGGGGGAGGGGGCACAGTGTTTTCTCGGGCACACCGTCGACTCGTGGTCACAAACAAACTCAGTGCGGTCGCTGCGGCTGCTGCTGCTGCAGCTGCTGCAGCCGGCGCGCAGCCAGGCATGTGGAGCTCACGGAGTCAGCCTGCCACACCACACGTTTTCAATTCCCAAAACAAAGAGGAGTACGAAGATATCAAGGGGTCGCCCATGGCAGATACACAGGAAGCTTCGGGGTCCTTGCGCGAAGTCCCAGCAATTGACGGAACCCCTGCAGCGGCCCCTTCTGGAATAGAAGCGTTGGCTGTTCTAAGCGTCCAGCCAACCCCGTTGCCAGTGCCTCTCTATGCCCCAACAATAACTGTCGCAGTTGAGGCTTCCGTTGTTACCCTCCAAAGCAGCCCGTTGGCTGTCCGAGGGTTCCAGGAAACCTCTGGCTCATCAGGTACAGCAGAAGCCCCAAATGCAAAGAGCAGCGCAAATATCCCAGATCAAATCGAACCCAGGGTTGTCGTCGGCAGTTTGCTGCTCCATGGGGGCACTCGAGGTATGTACAGCCACTGGGGCGTGGGATCTGTGCAGAAGAGACTTCAGGTGACTGAGAAGTTCACAAAGCTTCCCTCTTATGACTCTTGCTTTTCGCTACCAGCCAGTAGAGACTTTGATTCTGCTTTGCATTTAGGGCACAATGTTTGGCTTCAGTGTGTGGTTCAACTTTCCCTCCGTAGGTTCTGCTCTGCACGTCCTGTCACCTCTCCACATACACGCTGCGGAAGGGAGCATTCGCCTGCGGCAACGCAGCGCCCTCGTCTTAGCACCGCGCGGCAACAGCGAAGAGGAGCAGGTGGCTGAGTCTGCAAGGCCCTTTTACTCGAAGAGCACACCGGAAGCAAGAAAACTTCTTCTGGGGGCATCAGTATTGCTTTCGAGCGCAGCCTCTGTCTCTGTTGGGGAAGGGGCCTCTGTCCGCATCATCCCTGGAAGACGGAACTTTTCTTGTCGCGGGGACAAACCGCCTGGGTCAGCCCAGCCTCAGCATGGGCTGCTTGAGGCGAGTGCAGAAGCGGTAGGATTGCTTGCCAGTGAGCGCCTGCTTTTGCACGGTTCTCTAGGGCTCAGCGCTGCGCCGAGTGATTGCCTGCCTGCTCCATTGAGGAAAGCTCCTGTCCTTCTTTATGGCGGACGTGAGGTTTCCTTAAGCGGGGAGCAGCACTTAGACCGGCTCATTCTACTGAGTCAGGGTACTGTCACTTTGGCGGGGAGTTGCACTGTGGGAGAACCCCACCGCTGCAATGTTCAGCGCACAGCATTGATGCGCACGGAACTCAACAGAGTCACTAAGGTGCCGGCATCTTATAGCAGTGCCTGCAGGGTCTTGGAGCGATACGCAGGGGACCATGTAGCTGCCCAACTCCAGAGGGCCGCGGGTTTGGGTAGCTCATCTCCCGCTGATTCCTCGGCTCACATGTTTCAACTAGGAGAGGGGAGAACTGTGGAAAGGAAAGGGCGCACCAAAAGCAGCAGTCTTCAGGCTGAGGTTGAACCAGCAGGGACTGCAGAAGCGGACGTCAACCGTGACTGCTGCACAATGCAGGCGCCTATTGCCTCCAGCCCGCAGACAGACTGCACAGCTCAAGATGTGCCTACGAAAGCCGAGGAGCAGATAGTTCTGACCCAGCGCTTGATTCGAGCTGTCCGCGAGGTGGCTGGAGGCAGGGAGGACATAAAGGCTCCAAAGCAAGATTTCTTCTCAGAACAGGGGAGCCTGCTGCGAAACGAGCTTCCCCTCGTTGTTAGCAGGCAGCTTGAGGAGCGTTATTTCTCGAACATTCCACCTGTGGATCAAAGCGTCCCTGTGGATCCACTTGGCAGAGTTGCGTCTTTAGAGGTCCGTGGAGCAAATTTGCAACAAGGCAATGAAGAAAGAAAGGCACGCTTTTTGTTGAAGGGTCTCCCCTCCTTACTGAAGCAAGAGCCATCACGTGCGTCTCTGAAGCACGCTGGCTCTAATGCCGTTCATCCAGCACAACCCATCTCACCAGATGTTCCGAGGCAAGCACTGGCAGGGGAACCTCGGGCAACGGTTCACAACTCTTCTAATGAAGAGGGTGGGTCCGTGTTCGAGAAACCACAAGATTCTAGCGCGAGGGAGGCTGCGTATGAGAAAGTTACATTACCAGGGCCCCCGAATATTGCTTCTTTGGTGAAGGGGCCCATCGTGTCGTTTGAGTCAGTTTACTCTGAAAGCACTGAACTACCTGACAAGGACTCTTCTGTCACAGCCCCTGTGATCGCCGAGGAGCCCCGGGGTTTTGAAGACACGGCCACAGCCTGGAGTTTGGAGGACGCTGAAGCCCTATTACTGGGTGGGGCAGTGCCGTGGAGTTATCTAGATGCTGCTGTATTTGCTGGCGAGAGCCTGCTGCTAGAGTCCGGGGCCTCCCTTGTTGGGGGAGCGCTTCTACTATGCGGAAATCGCGGCAACACGGAGCTGAGGGGAACAGTAGATGCTAGTCGACGGGGGTGCCAGCCTGCTCATGGTAAGAATGCTGGACAACAGAATTTTGCTACTTGTGTGCCCAAATGTGATTACTGCCCCTAAAAAATGTCCATATTTTCCTAACTTCTACACGTGGGCCACTGATCCGAAAACTGCATATACAATTCCCTTAAGCGCGCCTCTGTTTTTATCCCTGGAATGCACATCGTTCGGTGAGGCTGCTAAGATGGTGAGTAAATGTGCTATTTACATTTGCTGTTGTAGGGTCTTGTTTCTTGCTTCTTAAGGCGTGTGCTTCTGCCCCTTTCCATTATAAGCCGTTTCTATTTCTCCTGTGTCATCTTTTCAGGACCCGGGGCTGGCAGCAGAGGCGTTGCTGTAGAGGCTCCGCAGTCAAGGGATGGGGAACCCGCTGCACCATCTTTAGTTGATCAAACTGCACTATGCGGAGGAGGTGGAGGTGGTCACGTGGGACCTGGAGGAGATGGAGTCCACGCATTGACAGGCAAGCCGTGCAGTGGCAGTGGGGGACCTAGTTACGACGGGGAACCGCAAGTGATGTCGAACAAGCCTCATGTGCCCACCCCCCTATTTAAGGTGAAACCAGTTCGCGTGGGGAATAGCTCCTTCCTTTATGCCTCCACCGAAAGCGCATCGGGTGGGGGGGGAGACTTGGCAAGAGCTGGCAGCGGAGGTGGTCTCGTATGGATCCAGGGGCAGACAGTGACGGTTGAGGGCCAGGTATTGGCTGATGGTGGCGGGGGAGAGCCGATGCAGGAAGCCATTATTGACATCGAAGTAGACCACAACAAATGCGTAGCCTTAGCTCCTTCGGTTGCTGACGCGCCTGCAAAGACTCGCATTGCCTCTGACAAAGGCGCTGAAGGACGCCCAAACACAGTGGCCTCTGATGTGAGCTTACCATCGGCAGCAAAAGAAAACACTGCAGCCTCCGACGGGCGGAAAGCTGACACACGCCACCTGTTTCCCGAAGTGAGCTCGCTTTTTAGTGAAGGGAAGAGGGGCAACTCGGTTCCAAACGAGTCCCAAGTCGCTGCTGAAGGGATCCACCCTTTAAGCAGCGTGCCTTGCCAGTTGTCGGGTATATTTGCCGATCCAGCGCAGCTTGGGCAAGGTGGGGGAGCTGGGGGCTCAGTCGTCATTGAAACAGGAGCACTTTTGGGGCATGGTACCATATCCGCTAAAGGCGGCCACGGTGGCCGGTGCACGGGAGGCGGAGGAGGCGGCGGCGCCATAGACTTTCTGTGGAATCCGACGTCGTTCTATTGGATACGGAAAGACCTTGTCAAATATCAGTCTTTCCGTGCGAATGGCAGTATTGGAATAAGCAGCCAAACCGGGAAGGAGTACGAAGAGACGGGGAAAGGGCTGGAAGTCTACTCAGGATTCAGTGCCTTTGTTCCATGGCTGAGGCCCTCAGAATACGCTGGGGGGTTTAGTGGGTCCCTGAGAGTAGGAGGAGGGGAAAGTGACCCGTCCCCAGCTTGTGGCGCGCTGCATTTGCCTCTAGGGCACCGTGGGTCTCCAGGAAAGGTACGAAGCCCTCTGGGCTGTCCTCCTGGCTATGCAGGTTGGCGTTGCAGCCCATGCCCTGTTGGCTTTTACTCGATTGAGGGAGGCGAGGCCTGTCTAAGCTGCACGAACAAGCCATCAGACGATGCAATATACACGCGGGAAGCAGTTGGGGATCCGTACTGCCCCTTTGCCTGCGCAGCTGGCCTCCCAGATGCCTCGATAAACCCACGGTGTCTCCCGCCTTTCCTCTTTATAGTCGAGCAGCTGCTTTGCTGTGCAGTTCTGGTTCCTGCAGGGGCAATATGCTTCTTGTTATTGGGCCTGGCTGCCCTCTGTCGAGAGATCGCCCGTAGACGGGGACAGCAGGGTTGGGCCTACAGGACGTTGTTTGGTTTTCCTGCCTTTTATGCCACTTCGGGAGGCCAGCAGGAGTCCGCAGCGGCATCTTGTGGTTTTGGAGGGCTGCAGCCGTCGCCATCAAGCTCTCTAGGGTACCTAGGAGGGTCAAAAGAGAAGCGTTTGATGCACTTGGCGGTGCGGCACCTCACATCAGAAGACTTGCCTTTCCACGTTTTGCGTATTTACCTGCATGGGCGTAACTCTCCGGACTCCCCATGGGGTCTGGACGGGCAGCCTCCTCCGTTCCTGGACCCGCATATAAACCCTCACCGGTTCGCTGCATTTGCAACAGAAGTGAACTCGGTTTGCGGCTTCAGCCGTTCCTTTGTCAGACTCTATGGAGCACTCTGTTTTCTCTATCCGGCCCTCGCATCGTTGCTTCTACGTGCAGCGAGGGCCCGCAGAGCAGATAAAATGATAGCTCTGTGTAGCGCTCTTTCTGGGGTCCCCTCAGGGACGACGGAGGGCGGTCTCTTTCGCACTTCCATGTGGAGGCGAAAACCGTCCTTAGTCTCTGTCTTTCCTATTTTCTGCCCGGAGAGGCATGCCTGCAGAAACTTGGATGCCAAGGCCGCGGGCTCCCTTTCTTTTTGGCGAAGCATACGTGCTAGAGAGCTGTCCTTCGCCCTGAAGTTCGGCTGTGACCCAGACTGCACTCTGGGTTTTGTTGATGTCTTGGATCTAGACAGAAACATATTAGATTACCGTTGCTCACCTCAGCTACCAATGATTCTACTCACTCAAGGTGATGGACGAGTTGTGCCTTTTGGCCTCTCCCGGGGCCTACGAAGGCCAAGGGCCCCCAGGACTCCTCAGGCACCACGCGAGTCTAATGGAAACGCCAGCCCTGCAGATCCGCTGCAGGGGGCCTTGGAAGAGCTAGCGTCTCCCTCAGTGTGGGCTTGCATAGCTAATTTTTTCAGTTCGAAGGTCAAGGAGCTTACAGCGGAGGAGTTGAGTTCTCTCAGAGCCTTCGCAGGAAACAGTCATAGTCTTCATTCTATAGAACCAGGGGGGCAACAACATGATGGATACGATCAGAATACTGGGAAATGGATGAGACCTCCTAAGCTTCCACCATTAGCAAGAGGGCTCTCCGGAAGCCCCTGGGAACATCATCCGTTCGCAAGATGCACAAGATGTGGGAAACTGCAACTGCCGCAAATCCCTGAAGGATCAGGCGGTAGAGCCTTTGGATTGCTGATGGGCGGGCCCCTGTTTGCCCTTCGAACTGTGGCTCGCTTGTCTGAAGGAATTCGTCTCATGAGTGACAGACTATTGAAGCCTCACGGTATCGGGGCTGCGGTGGTTGTGCTTGCAAGCCATGGCTTCGTCAACAGGAACGATGGAGTCAGGCGAGCAACCGGCTCTCCCGAGGAAGACAGGAAGATGCATGCGGCCGCACCGAAGCGCCACGCGAAGATGCCCCCACTACCACCTGACGACAGAATTAGGTGCGCTGCAGTACAGTACTTTGAGAGAGGAACGGGAAGGTACGGGGACTCAGGAGCCCCGATGCTTCAAGGGTCTCTCGGCACTGGCTCCTTTTTACTGCGAGCTGCTTCTTCTCCGTCTGCCCTGCTTGATAGCTTGCGTCGTAACAACTGCGTTCAAGATACCAACGAAACTACCCCTGAGTTCAGGGCATCGGGGAGATGTTCCTCGGGGTCCAATACTGCTGAAGGGAGGTCAGACGGCCTTCTTGTTGGGGAGAGGGGATTCTTTACAACTTCACGAGACACCTACCTGCCAGGACCACGGCAGCAGGCTGCGACTACCAACTACAAGCAGAGAGAAAAGGAGAACCCAGAATTTGTTGAAACTGAGGCATTTCTTGCCTTAGTTATCAAGGAAGAAGCCCCTGAGACCGATGGGGAGGGGTCACAGCCAGCTTCAAACACGAGGGAGAGAGGGGTTTCCAGGAATGAAGATATTGAAGCGGTTGTCGTACCCTCCTTCCCACCAGCTTCTTTTATGACGGTAACCTCTCCACTGGACCCCCGCCGATTGTCTCCAAGTAACCAGCCTCTTGCTCCATACACCGCTGCTGCTGCGACGTCACTTCAGAAGTCCGTCCCACTCTGGGGCTACGGCCCAGCATTTCCTGGCTCGTATTGCTCTGGAGCCCCTGGGTGCATTGGCGTTTCACAGAAATATTCTGACAGGCCATCGTTATTCTCACCAGGGCATCACATGCCGAGCGGATTCAGAGGAGGCCGCAAAATTACTGGCTCTTCTAGCAATCTGTCGTCTCCGGAATCTCAGCCGACGAGTTCAATGTCGCCTCACGGAGATGCACTTGTAGGCACCACAGAACCTGCTGGTGAGGCAGTAGCGTGCCCAGTCATGTGCCTTGCTGATGCAGCTAGGCGATCTGCAGGTGCAGACGCGCAGCACCTCAGGGATGCAGTCCAGGCTCTTCAAAAAAGTGCACTTGCCAAACTGGGGACAGGGAAAGACGACGCAGATGCAGCTATCATCCACGACTCGGGATTGGTGTCACGCATCACAACAAGTGGCGCAGTGAGCCCAGAGGCAAGTAGTTTCGAAGAGTGCTCTTCGGGGGATCGAGGAGCTCAAGCATCACGAAGACGTGACCTTCACCCTTTGGCCCTCTTGCAGCTCACGTGGAGGCGTCTGCGTTTTCGAAGCTCCCCAACAGAGATGGAAAGGCAGGTCTTTCTCACAGCGTTTTTGCACACTCAAGCCGGAGTGCAACTGTGCTGCTGCACAACTGATTCCACGCAGAAGTAGAGTCACGGGTAAATGCTGCTCGCTGCTCGTTCGCCCGCACGCATATCTGTTAAGAGTGAGCCTGTGAGCTATACGCGCAGACACATGTATATGTACAAAGAAATAGATATTAAGCTGCACACGTACTCTACAGACTTTGGCATTAAGGTCTCTGCCTCTGGAAATGCTTTGTGGGGGCACTCTTTCCTTCTGTGTGTTTCGTCGAATTCGCTATTTTCTCAGAGCTTACGTCTTAACTGCAGCTTTGGCAGTCCACATTATTCACATGGTAGCAACAGGTCTCTATTTATTTGGACTGACCGGTACCTCATTTGTGGCTTACCGGCCGCAGCCCTTTCCGGCGGCCGCCCCAACGACAGCAAACAGTCGAGCTTGGATTGTTCCGCTAAACTCGCTTTGGTTTCGCGGCGAATCTTCTAATAACGGTGCTCCAGACCTGCTAGTCGTCTCACCTCCAATGGAAAGCTCTGGTGTGGGTCTTTCTCCGGCTGGGACCGCTATAACAAAGTGGGTTGGTCTGGAGCAGAGTTTCGCCGGTACCACCTGGGGCCTACTGATTGTGGCGATTTCCTTGCCTCCCTTTGCCGACCTGTTCTGCATTCTCGTTGGCTTTTGGTTTTTATTAGCGGGAGATGCTAGGCAGGAGCAGCTCTTGTGCATGGCTGTTGCTGCAACGATGCCAAAGCATCTGATCGGTAAGAGAGCGACAGTGGTTACAGCGTCGTAGCCACAACTGAATTATTTTCGCCACATTATGGCTGGCGCAGTAAGACAGTATGCTTCACTTTCTCACTCTTTTCTGGTGAAAATATGTGCATCTGGCTTTTACGCAGTATATGCGCTTGTCATCTTTTATGGGGTGTCGTTGCGCGTCGCTTTGTTTGGATTACTGGAGCTACTTTTAATGGCGGCCATGAAAGTAGTACTCTGCACCCTTGGTAAGGCTATCCTTTAGGGGGTCTGGCTTTTCAATTAAATCTGGAGCTTAAAGGAGACTTATTTTTACTCATGTGGGACTCTCACTGTCCGTCCAATGGGTGAGATCTCAGCCTCGATGTACGCGTCGCGAATTGAAAACGCCGAAGCTGTTTTTTCTGCGCCAACAAAGGGGTCAGAGTTGCTTGCCTCGCTTACTCAAGTAAGATGAGAACATCTCCAGAGACGTCAAGGAAAGACGAAACAATTTGCTTATTGATGCAGCTTTTTTATTTTCACATGCCTACCCACGCCTTAAAAACGGCAACTTTTTGGTGCTTCACTGAAGGTGCATTTATGCTTGTGGCCCCTTTTCCGCAGGAATGCGAAGAGGCAGCAGATATATGCAACTGCCAGCCCTATGAGAGCTGCACTTGATCTCCCGGGGAAACAGATGATGGCTCTGCCACCTTTTCGACACCGAACAAGGGTAATGTCCAAAAGGATACTGCGTTTTCCTAACCACTTCTTTACGGAGCTTCGCCTTAGGAAATGAAGTACCCGTTGTGCAAGCGTTCATCTGATGAGGTAAGTTAACCTGTTAATCGGTGCTGAGGAGCAAAAGGGCAAACCGCTTTGGCTGGGCACTGCGCAGGGGACTCTTGAGGCCGAATGGTAGTTTGCCTTTGTTGTCTTAGAGTGGTTTTACAACTAAACGACTACGGCTTTGTATCAGTAACAAGCAGCTGCAATAAATTCCTTCAGGCGAAGGTCACCAAGAAACAGCACGGACAACTTGCGCAGCTGCGTGAGAGAACACATTTTTGGTCGGATTTGCAACTCAGCAGTGCACCAGACCGCCTTTCACCTTTCATTATTGCCGAAGTACGCGAAAGACCACTCACACACAAATGCTACGCACTTCTCCACAGAATGGCTGCACAGGAAGAGGCACGAATTCTTTTGCACACGTTGGAGCTGTTGCAACGCCGTTACTTGCCATGGTAGAGGCATCAAGCTCTTGAAATACTAAACAACGAAGTTCCAGCTTTCTGACTCAGGTGGCGGAGGCAGAGATTTTAATTGATTTGGGCATTGCGTCTAGTTAGAAAGTGTTAAGGAAGTGTTAGCTGGAGCGTACGTGAGAAACACACCAAATAGATGGAAGGCTTCGTCTTTTTTGTTTCTGCAATTATTCTGGAGAGGCGGCCGCTTCTGCGGAGAGCATTAGACGATCACTTTAAGAGAAAAAGAAAGGTCAAGGACAGTCGCTGAAAAGGGGCATAGCCAAGGGGGATCTTGCCCCAACACGACCATGCGCAAATCATGATGCTGCACGTTGAGGCCCTTTTTGGCCTAAACATTAATGCAGTTGCAGAGGATTACAGGCATTCGTTGGATTCGGTGACACGCTCGTTGTCTTCCGGCCTTTGAGCTCACTTTGCGAGGTGTTCGAAGGACGTACTTCTCGGCCCTCGTCAATTATCTTCTCGGTACCTTTCGAATAATTTGGAAACTTTTTGACTATTTCTGAATTGGCCCATTACCCATGCTCAAATACAACATTTAAAACCTCTCCAGATAGAGTACATGCCTCACCCACTGGATAGTACGCGCAGCACGTCATTGCACTGTTCGCCACTGCTCCTTCATTGGTATTGCTCTACTAGTTTCAAATTTTTAAGTTTTTGGAGATATTCAACACATATAGTGGGAATCTGTAGGCTGCCGGAGCTCCGCTGTGCTCCACTTCCAAAGTTATCACTTTGAGTACCGTTGGCACCATATGCAGCGGCGCCGGCGAAGTTAATGCCTCGCTATTAAATAAATAATTCATTATTTTTTCTCGCCTAAGCCCTGATGTTCCTGATTTGCTAGATTTGGTTGTTTATTGGGGCAGACCGGGAGGTTGAGGAAAACGCGCCAACGGCCCCGTTACACGGTCCAAGAGACACAAACGGCCTTGATGTGATAAGATTGAAATTCGACGCCAGGTTGTGTAAATATGGGGCTTATCTTTACGACAACTGCATTTCTAGTGCCAGGAGCCTCGAGCAGCTGCTGAACCCCAATAATCTGCCCAGGGGGCCCTTGAGCACCTTGTTTGTATAACATCTAGTAGCGCTGAGTCACATGATCCCAGTTCAGTGTCGCATTGAGTCAGGGTCTTCTCTTTTTTTGTGAGCCTTCTTCTTAGCGGAGAAGCCATGGACTAACACCGTGGCAGTTGTTCACTTGCCCGGCCACCGGACCCAGGCTTAGCAGCACAACGTGCCAATGTGCCGCCTCACGGCCATAATTACTCGTGGAGACCCGATTCTCCTCGCAGATATTCTCACGAGGCCACGACGCAGTATCATCCAGCAGTCTTTTAATTGTCAGGTGTGTCAAGTGGGGCGGACCCAGTACAAAATAGGAACACTGATGGATTGGCATACGTCCATATTACTCTGTGAAGATCTTGTGGCACCGAATCCGTCAAGCTCTGGCAGCCTCATCTTTTCCTGCTTCATTCCAAATGAAGAAACTGTGTGGTGACGATTCTGCGTCTTCAACAGGAGCGGCTACCGCAAGATGATATTCGAAACGCTTACCAGAAAGCCTCGTTAAATGGGGATGGATTCGGGGTAGGATGGTATATCACTAAGGGCTCCAACAGCACCGTACCTGGCACGAGCTTGAGCCTTTTGCGGGCATGTAACAGTAATCGAAACAATACGAATGGGAAAACAGTGCCTGATAGTGAGGCCGCCGTCACCAACGATTCTTCGTTCGAAGATGATGGAGGGGCCTGCGTGTTTACCTCCCTAAAGCCGGCATGGGCAGACCGTAATCTATACAACCTCGCTGAAAAGGTGTGGGTGCTGGGTTAGGGTGCCTTTACGGTGCAGTTTACGATGAAATTGCCAGCCTTTACGTCAACCAGGCACATGGAAAATATGCACCGGCTACTCGACCCTCAACGAGATGTTTTGCTCCTTGTATAAAGCCAGTTTTAGCCTCAGGTGCAAGGCGCATAGAGCTCGCGCATCCACTTCGCCTCCAGCCATCCTAGCACTGCTTTTAGCGAATAAGTTCTGAACAGTGCCTTTCTGGGCTCTTATTTTCGCAGATCTCAAGTCGTTTGTTCTTCGCCCATGTGAGAGCAGCGAGCAGCACTCTAGGCTGGTCACAATGCACAGGTTGTGCCGGTGGGCTTCCACCTTGGGCAGTGGCTAATGGCAGCGTCAGCACAGAACTGTGCTGCCACCCTTTTCGTTGTGGCCGTTTCATGTTCATGCATAATGGGAGCGTCGGCGGCTTTAACAAAATTCGCCGGTAAGGCATCTCTTTGAGCTTGGGGAGATAAACATTCCACTCGCGGTTTCGCCAAGAAACGTCCTGAGTTCTCTGAAGAGTTGACGGGTGTAGTGTGAATAAAGTTTCAGCATTCACGAGGCAGAGCTATGGACTTCTACGTGGCTGTCGCGCCCTCTGCATTGGTTGAAAAGCGCATAAATTGTGTCTAATTTCTACCTTTGCAGCGACTTGCTAAGCCTTCTACCCGATCCGATGTTTTCCTTTGCGATAACTAATAGTTGTATCGACAGCGCCTGCCTGTTCGCGGTTTTTTTAGCCCTACTTCCAAACAGCCCCACAGAACGTTCAACACATTCTGCGATGAAAGGAGCTGTGGAGCAGATGATTGCTACAATCTGCTGGCTGCTTGACAAGGAAAAGATCGAAGAAATCACACTAATAAATATTGTCGTATCGGATGGTGAAAGCATTGTTGCCACAAGATTTGTCACAAATGCTCAAGAAGTAGCCTACGGTGAGGCAGTCCAGCTGTTGTTCAACACAGAGTAACACAGTGCCGAAGATTGGCTACAAGCTTGCAGTCTTGAGTCGATATGTCAGCAGTGGGCTGTGGGATACATCATGGTCTGTATTCTAGCAGTGCTTGTTCAGCGCGGTACTGACATGAGCGTTTCTCGGGTGACAACACGGCATGCTGGAAAGCACAGCTAAAATGCTCTTACTGCAGTAAGGAAGTCAACGGTAAGTGTGCTTGCGGTAAGAATTTCTATGGCTGCAGAGTCAGG